GTCTTAGCGACACCACATAAAGGGCTTTAAAAGAAATGCCACAGTCGGGCGTCTGAGCGACACCACATAAAGGGCTTTAAAAAAATGCCACAGTCGGGCGTCTGAGCGACACCACATAAAGGACTTTAAAAGAAATGCCACAGTCGGGCGTCTGAGCGACACCACATAAAGGGCTTTAAAAGAAACAATCATAGTGAATATCCCGGAGGTAGAACCATCCCAAGGATGCTCGATAATAACAATAATATCACGGGTTAGTCAACAAAAATAATAATCGTAATTATACTAATCACAAGTAGTAATTCTATTTCTGGTTTAACAATTTCACCTCCGAAGACCGACACTAAGACCGACACTTGACCCATCCCAGACTGTAGTCCTTAACCATGGACACGGCTATTCGAATAGGTTTAATCTCTGCAGAGGGTGTACTATTTACCCACGAGTAACGGATTCCTTTAGTCTATCGGGACTAATTCCGTCTACGGTCTTTTAAATGAAAACGCACCTGACTTGCACACACCAGCTTAACTTACCGGTGTCTGGAATCACCCACGACACCTGTTAAGCAAAACTCTGAGTGGGGAGGCTACAACCTCGATTAGCATGGGATCACAAAATTTATACCGCGCGCAAAACTGGGGAAGCTACCCCCTCGGCTACAACCGAAACACCCATGACCCCTGACCGGATGACTGGCTTTAATCCATGGCCATGGTACCCTCATCCCGGCCCCTCTGTACGGTGTGTGCTAGAAAGGGGTTGACAAATTACTGAACCGTACTCTAGTTGTTGTAGAGACGAGTGGTAGTACGAAACAAGTATGGGGGTTACTGGAACAAGAGTCGTTCTATGGTCGACTCAGGAGGTTTAAGTATTTCCCTGCATGACATGCATAACAAATATATTTCAACCAACAGAATCACCGCTCATTATACCTCACTATGCCATACGGGACATGACCGTCCTGACGGAGACCGGCGACAAACTAATGCCTACCCAAGGCAGAGGTTTTCCCGGACTCCTTCCGGCATGCATGAAAGGCACATGAGGATGATTATCATCACAAGTGTGTTCATTTCCAACAGCATGGAAATCACTAATATGCACTCATGCATATGATCATATCACATGAAATAACAAGTCCTTCGAAATGCGGTGGTGTTATAAATGTATCAACGATCACACCAAAAATATTATGCCGGGATTCAGAATGCTTGCCTTCAGGTCATGGAAAAGAAGGGTCCATCCAAAACATCTTGAAATCTTCAAAAATCCTATTTAAAAGAATATATATCAATTAACACACACAATCAAAACAACACAAAAAGTTGTTTTGAAATTTTTTCAAATAAATCTTAAAGTAAACTAGACAATGGAAGAGAGAGGTAGGAAAAAGAATTAATTCATTTGGAGTTATCCTTAAAAAGATATAACCAGTCAAAGTTCTAGTCAAAATCTGTTTTTAAAATAAAATCAGAAAAGAAAACGGTTCGAGCGGGATTACGCTTTCGCACAGAGGAGACGTACTTGTGCCTTTACGCCTCCACTTATGCAACGTGGACACGTGGGGTGTCACTAACAATGGGCCCAGGGGACCCACTGGTCAGGTTTGACTGGTCGACCTCCCTCCTCTTCCTCTGCCCCGAGAGGAGGCGGGGCTGCGGCGATGCTCGCCGGTGAACGGCGGCACCGTTCGGGAAACGGAGGTCACCCGAGGGCTCAGGGGATCGAGGCGGTCTCTCCGGTAGTCGTTATGGTCTCGAGGGGGACAGAGCTGTTGGCGGCGAGCTTTGCGGCGGAGGAAGGCTTCGGTGGCGAAGTGGTCTTGTGGCGGCGATGGCTCCCAAACCAAATTGAGTAGGGGGATCTGTTCACGGGAGTGAGAGGAAGCTCCTGGTGGAGAGGGTGGAGAGGGGGAAGCTCTGGTGGCTCCGGAAGGGCTGGGGCAATGGCGGCGGCTGCAGTTGCTGGAGATGGGGAAGAAGGCCTCCCCGGGTCGTTTGGCTGCCAAAGGGGGCCCTAGGGAGATGGCTTGAGGTCGCCTGCGTGCGGAGACGAGCTCTGGCTCCTTAT